AATCATAAAGGTAGTATCAAAGATAAAGATTAGAGAATATACTTAAATATTCGTGGATTTCCTTTAGTTTCTGAAAAGATACAGATTTAAGATAGACATGTTAACAGTCAAGAAAGTTCAGGTTTGAAATAATTCATGATGTATTGATATCATGTTATATTGATAAAATTGTTTTAGTAGATTATTTTAATATTTTGGAGTAATTGACAGGTTTTTTATTGCACAATAAGAGTGTTCTGAGAGTAAAGTGTTGCCTTGCGTAACTATGACATTCTAAAAGATTCTATACTTTGAAAAGTATTTTTAAAAACCTACATCCATTTTAAGTAACAGAATGGTCATCTGTTCTGTTTTTACTGTTATATTTTTACTTAAATCCAATATAAATCAGCATTTACAGCACCATTCATGAACTTGAGGCAAATTTCATGATCTCTAGAACAAAGTGGTTACTGGATCTAATGTTAAATTTAATTTTTGTCAGGTATAATTGTAAAAAGCAGTTACATGGCTTGCTCAGGGCTAATTATTAACATCCTTTCTTAATTCTGTAATTGGACATAAATATTCTTATTTATCAATAATATATGCACATAAAACTCACTGTATTCACTTAATATTCTGGTTACTAAAGATTTTTAATAGTCCCTCCAGTTAGGAATGAAGTATTTGTTTTTGTTCTCATTCTTCTTATACTGTAATTTCCAATGTGATGTTAAATGTTACTGAAAATCCTTATTAGTTTAAACTTTCAGTTAGCCATGTTAACTTGATGAATTCATTGTGAAAATATGGACTCCAAGTCCCTAAGAAATGGGTGAGGGTTTTGGAATCATTTAAGTTAAGATCCAATTACATCTTAGTTATTTCTATGTTTCTAGTTCATACTGTAGAGTGACATTGAGTTTTTACCTAGTATGCTTGTCATAATAATTTGAGTTAACGTGTATTATCTTGCACCTTTTATTTTAGAAAAGGACAGACTGCCAAAGATTAAATAACTGTATGCATTCAGATAGCTGATCAATAGCAAAACTAGTACTAAGAAATCCAGATTTCTTACTTCCAGTGTTTATAATACAATATTATGATACCAGAAGATAGTTCCACTTTAGTCTTATAGATAAAAATGATAAAAGTAAAATGAAGTATTCATAATTCATAATTTACATATGTTTTTTGTGTAAGTTGTACCAAGCTTGATTCCTATTTGGACTGTAAATTTTAAACTATAAGAGTCCATGTTTTTATGTATCAATTATCACCCAAAATATTTGTAATTTAATTGTCAATGTGTTGTGTTAACATAAATACTAAAAAAATCTCTTCCATGTGGATAATTATAAAACATTTACTCCAGTACTGGAACAGTCTGCAAGTTTTACCTAGCTTTCCATTTGAGAGAAATTTGAATGTGGTAAAAACTTGGATGTTATTACACTTGCTGTTGGCAGGCAAAGGCAGGCATGAAAGTCTTGAGCAAGCTTCTGCAATTCACAGTAGTTTCCTAATATCTGTTGTCTTGAGGATTCTTCGGTTCTCCAGGCTAGGACTAAGCAGTGTTAACTTCCCTGGCCTTCATTCTTACAGCATTTTAAATGGTCATGTAGCCTCTGAGTCCTGTGTTTAGCCGTTTTTACCTGGAAAACCTACGGTGAGAGGGGTTATTGTTAGCAAACACTAATGAATACATTGGTAGATCATATTCTGGATATGAGGGAAAAACGGGCTTACTGACTTGGAAGAAATGTTAGGGAAGAGTAGTGATTTGGCCTGATTGTGCCATGATGCCATGGTGTCATTTATGTGCTTTTGCTTTTAAGCCAAAAATATGCTATGTAAAATACTTACAGCTGAAGTGGCAAATATTGGTCTTCTTTCCTTCAACTTTCTCCAGTCTTCTATCCTGTTTAGGTCCTGATGAAAATCACATAGCAGTTATACTAGACCTTTCCTCTTCAGGCTTCTAATCCCCTTGTTTTCAAGGCTAGATGTTGATATTACCTGAATTCCTGCCAGAGAAGAAGGCAATATTAATACTTTGTTAAGCATGGTTCTTTTTTAAGTTTTTAATTTTTATTCTTGTTGATGTTTACATAATTGATTGAAGGTTAGGAGAAGGTGGGTGAAATCACTATTTCCAAATTTTCTTTTTCTTCCTCCTGTATCTGGGGAAAAGGCAAGACAGTGGGAAAGCTACACCCAGCCTCAAAGCTGCCCAGTTTCCAGGAATGGGAAACGGCCACCCGATGCCATCCCAGGGTCTCCGATGTGGAACATGTTGTAAGGGTTCTGCTCAAGTGATTTTGATAGTTCTGGAATGCTGTCAACACCCCATTCTAGCTGTCATGCTCATCAGTGGGAGCCATAATCCAGCCAGGGCTTCTCCTTAGCTCCCTGACAAGGCCTGTTCCTAGCCACAGATCTTGTGTGTGCCAGTGGTTGCTCTGACCCAGCTTGGCATAGCCCATCCTCTGTCTTGGCCTTTGCCATCGGATGCTGCAGCCTGACATGTCCTACCCCTCTCCCAGTCCCAACTCTATCGCTGGTGGGTGTTGCAGCCTAATCCTGCACTGTCTGTTCCCGTTCCTGGCTCAGTAAAACCGGTAGATATGATAGTCTAGCCTGGCATGACCTGCACTCCAGCTTAGCTCTTGCACATGCCAGTGTACTAAGGTTTGGTCCTGTACTGCATGATTCAGTCCCCTTCAGAACCAACCCACACACTTGTTGGCCAGTGGAACGACTTTGTCCATCCTGACAAATACCCAGGCCTGAATCTCATGCTCACCAGAGGGAGCAATGGCCCACCAGGGGAGTTTCCCAAGTTCCTGTACCAGCCCACTCCCAGATCCAGATCCTATATGTAGTGGTGGGTTTTAGGTCCTTACCTGGTATAGTCTGCCTCCTCTGTTCTTGCCTCGGTATGACTGGTGGATGTTGTGGTCTGGCCCACCGCACACCCTATTCTTGGGTGTGCCTGTGGGTGCTGCAGTCTGGACCAGCTCGGCCTGTACCCAACTCCAGTACCCATGAGTGTCAGAGGGTTCCGTGATCATGTCTAGCTCAGCCCATCATCACCCTCAGCTTTTAAGCAAACCAGAGAAAATTGCAGTTCCACAGGAGTGGGCCCACTTACTCCTCCAGAGTTAGCCCCCAGACCTGATTTCTCGTGTGCTGCTTATTGTCATGGCGCTGCCTAACATTACCCATCCTTTATTCTGACTCTCACTGGCAGGTACCATGATCTAGCCCTGCTAACTAGGACCCCAGCCATAGCTTTGATGTGTGCCAGTGAGTGGTATTTGGCAGTGGTTGATGCTAACTAGCTCAGCTCAGGTCTCCCATGTGTCCTGGCACATCATTTGACTCTTAAGATTTTTCTGTTCCCCCCTTCAAACTGCTTCAAACTGTCACACCTCCCTCATTTATCTGCAAGTACAGTGGCCTTGTTGATGGAAGTCCCTCAGTAGTCATTCCTCACCTTCAATGTACTCTCTCACCAATCTTCCCTCCCATACATCTCCTCACCCCCCCCCCCCGGGCAATCTGCCCTCCCTCCTCTGCTACGATATTAGATGTTCTCTTTAGGCCCCAAAGGAGTGCCATATCTTCTGTGTGCATCTGGGTGTGCCATCCACTGCTCCCTCTAAACCATTGAGGTGACTCAGATCTGCAGGTACAGTAGCTTGTCTATGCAAGTTCCTCAGTAGTCATTCCTCACATGAACATGATCCCTCAGGTCCTCACATACCCTTACCTCTGCCATTCCCCAGGTCCCCTGCAAGCCTATACTACCAAAACCCACAAGTGTGCCACCAGGTGGCCCGTGGGCTTAGCCCCGCACCATTTGCACCCTGCGCCACCCGACCCAGGCAATGCTGCGCTCCCTCTGGGGCTAAGTGGTCTGACTCCCTCTGCACATGCAGGGCAAAGGACCCAGGCTAGGCGCCCCAGTCTTTGTTGGAACCACCCTGCCCCTACTGTCTCGGGGCTAACTGGCCCAGCTGTTATGTATGTTTTATAAGATAATAACAAACAAACAAACTGCTCTTTCTGACTTTTAGGGTTTTATGATAAATAAGTAATTGTTGATATTTATGTAAGTTGCATCTAATTAGATCAGTGAGAAAGGATTGGAGGCATAATGGTAGTGAGATAAAGATTATATGAACCAACACTAAGAGTGACGTAAGTAGAGGATATATACAAAATGAATTTTCAGAGCTTGCATTTAGCTTTAGTGGGAAAGTATTCACCTCTGGAGCAAAGTCAGATGAGCTTAATTATGTTTTCAAGAAACTTTCATACTTAGGTATCAGGAATAGAGAGAATGGAAGGAGGTTACCGTGTAGCTTAAGTATAGCTAACACAGAAAGGAATTACAATAAAGGGTATTTTACAGAGGCACAATATGTTGTTGACTATGTTTAATTGTGGTGTATGATTTAAGTCCATAGACAGCATCTCAAGCATTTAATAATTACAACTAAAATGCCTTCTAAATTACCTACTTGAAAGGTAGTCATTGTGGTTCAACAGGTTAAGCCACTGCTTGAAACACCCACATCCTGTATCTATTTCTGGTTGGAGTCCTGGCACTTCTGCTTCTGATCCAACTTCCTGCCGAGGTGTACCTACCATGGGCCAGCAGGTGATGGCTCAAGTCCTTGGGTCCCTGTCACCCATGGAGGTGATCTGATTGTAATTCTGGGATCCTGACTTTGACTTGGCCCAGCCCTGGCTATTGTGAGCCTTTGGGAGTGAACCAGTTGGTGGATGATTCTTTCTCTCTTTCTCTATCTCTCTCTCTTCCTTTCTTTCTCTCTCTGCCTTTCAAGTTGAAAGATTTAAATAAATTTGACAAAGTTACTTATTGAAACTGAATAAAATCAATATTACTAAAATGATTGTTATGTGTTTCAAAAATGAGAACAAATGCAAATGTCAAATTAATCAAGTGTTGCTTTCCTCACCATTATCTTCCTTTGGTTACTTAGGAAAAGAAGTCCATCAGTGTCCAGAGATCAGAATAGACGATACGACCAACGGGAAGAAAGAGAGGAATATTCACAGTATGCCACTTCAGAAAGCGCAATGCCTAGGTCTCCATCAGATTATGCTGATAGGCGATCTCAACGTGATCCTCAGTTTTATGAAGAGTCTGATCATATGAACTATAGGGACTCCAACAGGAGAAGTCACAGGCATTCCAAAGAGTATATTGTAGATGATGAAGATGTGGAGAGTAGAGATGAGTATGAACGACAAAGGAGAGAAGAGGAATACCAGGCACGCTACCGAAGTGATCCAAATTTGGCTCGCTATCCAGTTAAGCCTCAACCTTATGAAGAACAAATGCGTATCCATGCCGAAGTGTCCCGAGCGCGGCATGAGAGAAGGCATAGTGATGTCTCTTTGGCAAATGCTGAACTGGAAGATTCCAGAATTTCTATGCTAAGGATGGATCGACCGTCCAGGCCAAGATCTATATCTGAACGTAGAGCTGCCATGGAAAATCAGAGATCTTATTCAATGGAAAGAACTCGAGAAATTCAGGGACCAAGTTCATATCCACAAAGGACCACAAACCATAGTCCTCCCACACCACGGAGGAGTCCAATCCCCATGGATCGACCGGACATGAGGCGTACTGACTCACTGAGGAAGCAGCACCACTTGGATCCCAGCTCTGCTGTACGGAAAACAAAACGGGAAAAAATGGAAGCGATGTTAAGGAATGATTCTCTGAGCTCTGACCAGTCAGAGTCAGTGAGACCTCCACCACCAAAACCTCATAAATCGAAGAAAGGAGGTAAAATGCGACAGGTTTCTTTGAGCAGTTCAGAGGAGGAATTGGCTTCCACGCCTGAATACACGAGTTGTGATGATGTTGAGATTGAAAGTGAGAGTGTAAGTGAAAAAGGTAAGATCTCTAATTATAGATTTTACTGTATTAGATAAGATCTTTAAGGCTTATTTCTAAGTAAATATTTAAAACTAACAAAAAAAACTCCTTTAATGGTATTGGTCATGTGAACAAAATTTTATGTTATGAAAAACAAATTATGTTATCCATGCATGACAAAAATTTATTAAACACTTTTCTTTCCTGCTTTGTTTAAAAAATTTTTTTGCATCATTTGATCATATGTTTTAGAGATTTTTTTCAGCTGGTTTTAAAAGTAACATTAAACTTTAATTAAAAAAACAATTTTAGACTTTTTTGCTAAAAAAAATCTAAAATGTCTTCAAAGTGTAAAAAATGAAATGCAAGTTTTCATATTTCTTTTCCCCAGAGAGGACCATTATTTACTGTATTTTCTTCTTTCTATCATTTTGACTGTCTGAGTTACAGATTTATAAAATCGGCATAATACTGTTTATAATTTGGTGCCCTCATTGTTTATTTGATAACAGTTTATAAGGAGTTTAAGATTGCTTTTCAGAAAAGTGTTTTAAATGCTTGCACCAATGTTCTATCTTAAGTTTGTACTATTTTTTCTTACTGCCATTCAATTGCTTCTGATTGCTAGAACAAGTAATTATATAATGATTATCTTTAAGCATAAGTTTTGCCTACATATCTGATGTGTATTTGTACTTTGGATTCTTTTAAGCTTTATTTCAGATTCCCGAATTACTTTCTAGAAAGGTTTTCTACTTCTGTCAGATGTATGTGACTCACCAGCTTCAGTGTACTCCATGTTTACTAATTAAATAAGACTTGGAAAGAGCTGGTTTTTCATCATTGATTGTAGAATCAAGATATTTTATTGGTGCTTATTGATGTTTAATTCCTATGATTTACTTGTTCAACCCTTTTATTCCTTCTACCTGTTTTTATTGGCTATTATGTGGTTATTCTTGCTGATCTATAAGAGCTTTTATATATTTTGGATTTTGCTGCATTTAATTGTTTCAAATGTTTCACAAGTTGATGTTTGTCTCCTATTTTTCTTTTAATATTTGGAAGTACTGAATTGAATATAACTAAGCCTTGTATCTTTAGTGATGGTTTTCCCTCTTTTAATCCTTCAAAACTCTTTTATCCCCAAATTGACTAGTTAAATAGCTATATGTTTTGTATTTTATTATGTTTAATGAGTGATATTAAATTTTTCTGGAACTTATTTTCATGTATTACAACATACATAAGATTGGTGATTATCTAAAATGAATCCCTTATATTAACTCACTGTCATCCCACTGCAATATTCTTAATGAGTAGTCCATTTCTTCCTTTTAAGAACCAGTAGGCATCAGTAAGGGAATTCAGGAAGATAATTAGATGTGAAATGAATACTGAATAATTTTACAACATAAAAAATGAATCAAGATACATGAATTAGCAGAGGTGGCTTTTTGATGCAGTGGTATAATTGCTTCTTGGGATTTCTGCATCCCATATTAAAGTGGGCAGGCAAGTATTCGGCCTCTGCTTTGGATTTTCTGCTTTTGAGTTCCAAATAATGTGCGCCCTCAGAGGCAGCAAGTGACTGTTGAAGTGCTTACGTCCCTGCTGCTTGTGTGAAGGAGCTAGGTTCAGTTCTGGGGTCCTGATTCAGCCTGGAACAATCTCTGATGCTGTGGACAGTTTGGAAGTGGACCTGTCTATTTGTTTCTCTGAAACTCCACCCTTTAAATAAACAAACACTCAAATACAGATACATATGCATCCACACATGCACACATACATGCATACATACATACTTTTGGAGCTGCTGTTCTGAACTAAAAACAGAAAATATTGTTTACAAATGAAAGATTGAACATTAAAAACTACAAGATTTCAGTAAGTAACTTAATTGAAAATGTGAGTAGATGTTTAGTTCATATTCCGCATTGAGAATGCTATGAAGATGCATGCGCTTTAGAAATAATCTCTTAGGATTAATAACATTCTAGTCATAATTCCAGTTGAATCTTAGGAGCCTCTTGTTTTTCAAGTCAATCTAGAAACAAGAATGCTAGAAAGAATAGCCTAGAACAGTGAGGGATAACCAACCAGATATTGATTGTTCAAAGTGTTATATTGATAAGAAATTTTGCAAAGGTTAGTGGAATTCTGATTTAATCTATTAAAATAAATGATAAACATGTAGAAAGTACAATATTCCAACAGGTAGGATATAGCATTTAAACAATGAGGTTGAGGAAAATACATATGCAGTTAGAAAAATAAAGTTAGGGATTTAATTAATATTCACTGCATTTGAATGACAAATTCTAATCAGATTAGGCTTATTAAAATATAAGTACAAAGAGAAATGCAGATCTTAATTTTCACAGAGATAATGTATAAATTTTTCCCCTGGACTGTAATCCTTCCTTAAACATACTTAATAATCTTTAGTTCAGTCTTTCCACATATTTGCAAAAATATTCTTGTAAAATATAAGCTGAGTTATCTTGAATGATTGGTTTAGATCATTTTGGTAGGTTCTTCTGTTATTTTCTGCTAATGCGCTCCCTTCACATTACTTAATAAGAATGTAAAAAAATTGGAAAGGCATTAATGAAACACTCAAAAGCTTTTTATGTATGATATCTGTCTAAGGGCTCATACTTTGTTTTGCAAAGCTGTTCTCACTTATAGATTTGCAGGTTTATAGCATAACAACTGATATTTAGCAAAATTAAAACACTTCTAAAACGATAAAGAACCTGCATGTTTCACCAGTGATTTCCTCTAGCTTGAACTCTGGGTAGATACCCTTGGAGTCATTCTCTTACTCATGTAACTAATTTGTTTCTCAGAATATAGTTTCTACTAATATTTATTTCCTGTGAATACTTATACTTTGTTTTAGATCTGGAGGAGGAAATTTGAATTTCTTTAATACAATAGTCTTATTTGATATTACCCCAGTAGTGGAATTCAGAGAGGAAAGATTCTGGCTGTTGAGAAGGCGGAACATTGTAGGCAAGACTAGCATATTTGATTATTTGTGGAAAAAGCAGGATCCGTGTAGTCCCTGGATCTTATGGCTGGCAACCCCTGATCTCTGTTGGTGCCCCATAGGGCACCATCTTGCACAGAGGGGCAAGAGCTCAGAGATCAGAAGGAGCGGAGGCAAACTGCACATGTGCTTAATCAGTAGGGCTCAGGTGCCATTTTCATCAGGCTAGGCACTGTTAGACTGAAGAGAGGGGAGCTGAGCTGTGCAAGAGCTAAGCGTGAAACAAAGTCACTTTCAGCTTAGAACATTGCACAGGCCCCTCAGAGAAAGCAGTTCCATCATGGCACTCTACAGACTCACCCAAAATAACTCCAGGTAGCTCTCAAATTTAATGGCTAGCACACGTCAACAAGATCAGCACCACTGACAACCCAGTTATTTAGGACAGCTGGCATTTTCCTAATCAGGGACACTAATTGAACATAAAAACCGACTTGTAGATCTGTAGATAATACATCTTAGAAACCTGCCCTAAGGAGAAGAATCTGCCAACCAGAATTGCAATGACAAAAGGTAAAAGAAGAGACAGAGGCACTATGAATGTTACTGAAGACTCTCCAGCAAAGGAACAAAAGCCTCTACCACCCTCAGAGTTAACTGAGGAAGACATTGAGAAAATGGGGGACATAGAATTCAGAAAACTCATTATAAAGCTTTTGAATAACAATGAGAAGCACATAATACAAGAGTTCAAGGAATTTAAGAAATGTGTCACACAGGAGATGAATCAAATGAAAGCTGATATGTCAAATTAAGAATACAGTGGAGCAAATTAAAAGTACAGTAGACGGTCTCAAAAATAGAATGAATTAAGCAGAAGAAAAAATGTCAGAATTGGAAGGTATTTCCTGTCACCAGGGGGAAACAAACAAAAAGCTGGAAGCAGAACCAGGTCAAGCTAAAGAAAGTATCCAAGAATTAAAAGATATGATTAAAAGGCCCAATATAAAAGTTATGGGAGTTCCAGAAGGCACAGAAAGAGAAGCTGGGATTAAAGGTGTATTCAATGAAATAATAAATGGAAACTTCCCTAATGTCCAGAAAGAATTGGAAAACAATATACTGGAGAGGCACTGAACCCCCAACAGAGTTGATCAAAAGCGATTTTCACTGTGACACATGATAATCAAGCTCCCTTTGGTTGAACAAAAAGAAAAAAATCTGTAAGTGTGCATGTGAAAAAAAAAAAATCAAATGACCTGCAGAGGAATCCCAGGGAAACTCAGCTGACCGACCTCTCAGAAGAAACACTATAGGCCGGAAGAGAATGGAGTTACATATTCCAGATTCTAAAAGGGAAAATTTTTCAGCCCAGAATAATGTATCCAACAAAGCTCTCCTTTGTCTTTGAAAATGAAATAAAATTCTTCCACAGTAAAGAAAAACTTCAAGAATTTGCCTCTTCTAAACCTGCCCTACAAATGATACTCAAAGATGTTCTCGTGAAAGAGAAAAGGAATAGCAACTACCAAAACCAAAGGCAAATGTGGAGAACATCCCACTAAAAGGCCAACAGAAGACTAAATCAAAGAACAACCCATTGCTAAAATGACAGGACCAAACTGCCACCTATCCATATTAACATTGAATGTAAATGGATTAAACTCATCAATCAAATGCCATTGATTGGAGGACTGGATCAAAAAACAAAACCCATCTATCTGTTGCTTACAGGAGACACATACAGATCAGAGGAAGCTGAAAGTGAAAGGATGGAAAAAGATATTCCAAGCTAATGGTAAGGAAAAATGTGTGGGTGTAGCCATTCTTATATGATATAGACTTTGATGTGAAAAACATTAAAAGAGATGAAGAAGGATACCATATAATAATCAAAGGATTCATTCAGCAAGAAGAGATCACCATAATAAATGTATATGCAACAATGCCAAGGCATCTAGCTTTATGAAACAAATATTAATGGATTTAATGGGAGAGATAGACTCCAATATAATAATAGCAG